TCTCGACCAAGCCTCTTAGCCTCCCCTTGCAAACTTCAAGCAAACATTTCTTTTGGTCACTCCCTCGTAGGATTGATGAAAATCAGTTTAAATTCATCTTGTTCTTTAATAATTCACATACTTCTTACAGAAAATAAACAAAGTGCTCCTACGATTGAGAGGTCCTACAACAATTGAAAAAAGTAAAATTATTTTTATGTCATAACATAATAATGACACGTGCTAACTAATTACTAAATAACAAGTGCGTAAAAAAAAAAAAACAGAACACAACTTCTTGCGCTTCTCTTCGCCAACGCCTATTCATTATTATGATTCTAATTTACTTTGACGGCATTGAATCAAGCACCAAAACTCGGTGGTCCTGAGTCCTATAACAATTAAAAAAAGTAAAAAAAAAATTTTTCGTTATTATACAATCATTACATGTGCGTTTAAAGGGCAAAAATCGGTACAAAATCGGTAACTGAGTGGATTTAGCAATTCTTCGAGAATAACACTTTCTGTTCTCATCGTAAACGCTAGTCACAATTTTCAACTTGACAACAAGAAATCAAGTATAAAAACTCGTTTTGTTTTCCTTTTGAAAATCCTTCATTTTTTCACGGAACTCGACTGGGTGAACTCCATTAGGAATAGAGCCATCTACCCAATAAGCCGCCTCCTCATACTTTCTTCTGTACACCCTTTCTTGTTTGCTCTTTCGGTAATATTGTTCCAGCATTTCTTCATTTAGACGAGTCCCTGCTGGGGTCCCATTAACTTCCTCTGGGTTATCCTGTACAACTCTGAAGTTTTTATCTTCTTTCAAGTTGGGCAAGTCTTGATTAGATTTAACAAGATTGCTTCTGGTTTTCGAGGAAGAATCGTTGCTTTGAGTTAGTGGTGTTCCATTAGCGGTCTTTGTTGGGGAGCCGCTACACTACAGGTATATAATGATAACTCATTATAGAAAAGAAAAGTAAAAGTGGAATACAAACTGCGTTCAAGGTCCTTTAACTTAAATTTTAGTTTGCAGCAAAATACTTACAGTAGAGTTCCCCGTCATTGCCAAGCCTTCGCTATGTTTGTTCAAGTCCTTCGCTTCAATTAATTGCCGATTTAGGGACTGGGATTGATGGCCTCCTTAGCTACACCTATACATCATCTTCGACCAATCAGTTTCGTCAGGACAACAGCTTGCAGGATAAATGTTTTCAATTTTTCAATATCAAAATAAACTTCATTGTGACGTCACACTGTCGTCACGCGCATAATTGAAAGACCTCTCCACAACCTTTGAAAATAGATCGTTGCAAGTCGCTCAGAGATGCAAACAATCAAGGAGAATGCTCGTATAAAACACAAAACTCAGGTCTCAAATACAGGACAATGTCGTCTCAATTAGCTTTTGTCCGGTCAACTCCTTGGATCGCCAAGCATTCTTTTCGGTGGTTTTCGAATGTAAAGAAGAATTTCGAATTCATTCGGAATTTTTTTTGTCAAAGTAAACACGAACCCCTTAATTATCACGTCACACTGTCGTCACGCGCACAATTAATCAACCTGACTAAAACTCCTCGACGCAAACATTCAAGGAGATTCTTCTTGATAAACACAAAACTCAGGGTTCGAAAGAACGGCCAGTCAATGGACATTGAACTGTCAGAAATAGGTTTTGTCCGGTCAACTCCTCAGATGGCCTAACATTTTCTTTTGTCTGGTTGTTTATGCATGTGAAGAAGGAACTAATTCCGTGCTAAGTTTAGATTTTGAATATTTTAAAGTTTCAAAATCATTACCGCGTTAACGTTTTGGATGGAAAAGGGGGAAAGACGGATACCACCAGACCAGAAACCTTTTCGCCTGTTCGATTCCAGGCTGTCAGTTCAGTAAAACGGAGCGAAACTGAAAATAGCGCGATAGAAGCGCTAGCAGAGGAATGAAAAAGGCAAGAGAGGCTTGGGTCGAGTCACGTAAAGACATCAAACCAAGATCCTTACAGATCACAATCTCGTGACAAATCGCGCGACTTTACTTGCACACTATAATGAGAACTTTTGTACAAAACTTTCCTAACCACTGGGCGAAAAATCAGATTTGACGTCAGACAAATGCAGTCCAAATGTGGTTCACATGTGATGTTTGTCATATTTGTCAGTATTTGACTTGAAGACAAATATGACATTTGTCCTAAAGATAAATAGGATAATTGTGCATTTGCTTTTGGGTGTAAATATGGACAAATACGGTGTAAATCTGAGTTAAATCATGATTTGTCCAGCTCTAAACAAGGACAAATGCGTTAAAGATGACATTTGTAAGAACAAATTCAGGACAAATGTGGAGCAAATATCATCTTTGTCATGGAATAATCCAAAATTCTCTTCCCCTCCATTGACCCTGTTGTCAATTTGCACAAAATTGCTTTTTCCACATGTTATTTCAGTATTAGGGTTGCAAGTACCCAACAATACACTGCATTTAATAATGCTCGCGCGACTGCCGGTGAACTATCATCAATTATCACGAACTTTTTTGGCCGTTTGACAATGCGAATGATAGTTGGTGATAGTTGATGATAGTTTGAAGAGAATCAACAATCATCGACTATCATGCGCCGTTTGACCAAGGCTTTAACCTTGCCATTGGAAATTGACATGGACATATCTCGCGCGTATCTTGGATTTTTTTTTTTTTTTTTTAACGCGGTTCAGTTTTGGTTGTTGTTTTTGAGTTTTCGTTCACGCCAATTTGGCCTTCAGTTTGGAATTTTATGAAGTTTTTGGATTTTTTATCTAAACCGAACGTTCTGGTTATTTAACAATTTAAAACATATTTTCTACTGAGTTTGGACTCTAGTAGGGTCTGGGAGCAGGTTCTCGTGTTTGGGTTCCTCCTTATGCCCTCTCTTGGGGTCCAGCCGCATATCACACTTCCACGCTCGTGGGAAAACATTCGGAAACCCTACTTGTAATGAAGAAGAGGGTAAACTGATAACATTTTTGGGGTACGATATGAAAGCCAATCAGTGTGGCAGATTTTACCATACTAATTGTTAAGAAGACGTTAATGAACTTGTGCGCGTGCGACTCGCGTGCACGTGCTTTGGGACTACGTAGGCTAATAATATCGTAAGAAAATCACGCGGACCTTTTAATTTTGACGTGTGCGATTTTTTAGAGAGAGTTGAAAAGTTTTTATTTTATCGAGTAGCAGTTTTGTTTAATGGTCGTTGTCGTTTACCGTGAGTCTACAGTTTACCGTGTTGGAATTAAAGTGTTTCTTTGGATTTCCCGTTTCGCTTCCGAACACTAATAGTATTTCCCAACAACCGCTTTTTTTGTCAAAGTAAACCATGTTTTGACATTTTCCCTTTTCTTTCCTTTTAGTCAGACATTCACACACGCCATTGCAATCTAAATGTGCCACATGTACCTGCAAAAAGAATTTTACTTTCCCTCATTTTCTCTCCTATTTCATTTTTAGTTTTTATTTTTTATTTTTGATGATCTAAACTTGTTCTACCTTTACATATGTAAAAGCCCTTAGAGGATTTGAATAACAGCTGTCCGAAATTGTGAATCTAGTAAATACGAGAATATCCTCATTTGTCCCCCTATCATTTCTTACACTTAGTGGCAGACTACATTTAGTTTAACTTCAAGACCTCGCGCTGTTTACGAAGCCACTTTTAATCCAAAATCATACGATTTGATAATTCTATAACATCAATTCACTGAACTCGAGAACTACTCCCAGTATTTTAGTACCTGCTTCCAATAAAGGAATTTAGCTTGCAAAACACGTGCTTACGTGATACAAACGTACCACAAAGACAGTATACGGTGAAGTTTTTCCTAATCCAAGACACTGAAAACGTTTCATATTTGCACAGATGATCATTTAATTTTTATCACGATAAAGACCTTGTACTGTTTTCTTGGACTATTAACTAAGTTTCAAACTTCCTTGGGAAACCAGCTCGTGCCTCTTCTCTACGCAGCTGAACCGGTTGAAACTCGCTTTATTCAGTCACCGGTGGCCTAGCCTTTGTTCGTGTGCAGCAGGGACCTGCAGAGGCCTGAGAAAGGGATATTCAACGCAAACGCAGATTACACATAGTCCATAAAGCACCTACTTTCCTTTAAAGGATTTGTTGTTTGAAGTCGACATGAAAAACAGGGTATATTTTGCAGTTTCTTGCACAATTTTGCTAAGTTTTATGTGGAACACCAAAATCGCGGAAGCGGGAGACTATATCGACAAAACAAAATGGCTTCCCAAACTACGTGATCCAATTAAGGTAAGCTGAAATCAGACATTTTTCACAGTGTTTCTTTACACTTAAATTTGCGTAAAAACCTTAATTCAAACTGACGAATTTTTATTTACGACATACATCGCTAAGTGAGCTAATTCCATACAACCCCGGAAGAGAATTTCGAAGGTTAGACAACCACGTGCGATGAATTACTTGGATAGGAAATATCTGATTTGTACAGAGTGGTCGGTTTTGACTAAGCACTGGTGATGGCCATTTAACATCGTTATGAATCAGTTAAGCCAGCGAATTTGATTTAAAGAGCTAAAGAACGTTTAAAAACGTATTTAAGACGAAACGACAGCTGTAAATAAAAAGTTCCCATTCTTGCTGCTCACCCCACCTTTGTGGTCAGCACAGTCTGGTTCAAATGCTAGACGACGACCGCACGGTCGATATTTTGGCGTCAATTGCAAAGCACGCCGAGATATAAGTTTAATTCTTCTTCCGTTCGCCGTCCGCGTCTCAAAAACGTCTCTGCTTAAGCCCACAGATTTCGTATTTGGTATAATTCACCTTTTTTTTCTTTTTATTTGAAGGTTGGTCATGAAGAAGAAATGATGGTGTTTCCATTTCACAAAAGAAAGGTGAAAACTATCAGTATGAACCCGCCGATATTTGGTGAGTCTTAGATGACATAAGAAGACAGTATTAACTAACCAGCAAAAAATCAACTCGCATAATAACGAAATAAAATAAAGATCATTTATTTTCATGAATCGATTTGAGAAGAGTTTTTTCAAACCAGAAATTCGATGGATGGCAAACTCTAATTCTGAAACAGTAAGTTAAAAGAACTTTATCATATTTAAGAAAAAGACCGTTCGTCTAACACTTTACACCCTAACATCAGTATGCATATTCTCCATACTGTTCTCTATACATTTCCTATGGTGCAGACAAGGAGATTTGTTTAACAATCAAGAGCTTCGAATTCGCATCTCCATTTCTTTAATGACCTTTATAATTGATTCAAGGGTGATATTGGAGGGTGAAATTAGATGCCGGTCACTTTTAAGGGTCAAAGGTTTAACATTGGTTATTAAACAAAGCAAAAATGAAGCGGTGAAATTGTTGATAACTTAGATATGTTAAAATCGGTGTAATTAACAATTATTCCACGAGCGCGCGTTGGATATGAGATGGTAGATAGCCAACGAGGCGCGTAGCGCCTCGTTGGCTATCTATCAGCTATAATCATCTCCTATCCAACAAGCGCGAGTGGAATAATTGTCTTTTTAAAAAAAACGTCCCCATAATATGACAAATCTTCTCGACTTTATTTTCTAAGAAGAAACCGGATGTTACAAAGTACAGATATTAGATTGTGGTATGTTGGCTCATATACCATAATGGCTAAGCCAATAAAAAGTCTTGAATTGCATTATCCAATGATCCAGTTTCTAATAATATAGTTTAACATATTACACCAATTACTGAAAAATAAAATTATCGAAGCTTAACTCTAAAATGGAGTTTATAATTGGCTAAATAATACACTATAATGGGGTAGGGGTTCTGAGAGGCCAGCGGCACATACCCAGCAGAAATTGACCCAAGTACCCCCCTTCCCTCCTGGGTAGCGGCGTAAGCTCTTCGAGCCTCCACATTTCAGGTTGCCTTTCACCAAGCTAAAAAGACATATTTCTTTGTATCTCTTAGAGATTTCCAATTTTCTGACGGATGTTGAATGCGATCACCTAATCAGTTAGGCCAAGCGCCTCGGTTTAGAGAAGAGTCCCTTGGCAAAGGCTGACACTGTCATCGATGACGAAACATCACAGAGAACTTTTAAGATTTGGGATAACAACGACGACGGGTTTATAGAGCCCGTTGAGGTAGGTATAAAAACCAGCATGACTATAAGGCGGGGAGGAAAGTAGGATTTCCTGGATGGGGATCCAACGGCCCGAATGGAACCCTACGCCCCCTTTCAGAAAACGTCAGGATGTTTGACCATGATGCATCATGCTCTTTTCCTTTCATCAAAGGCACAACTGGAGGTACATACTTTTGAGGACCGCCTCAGTCGCGCTCATTAAAGTATATGGCAGAATTAGATTTTCGCTGGGAGAATGAAACCGAATAACTTTCAAAGCGTGTAGCTTTGCAGTAAACGATTCGCTAACTTTTGATAAAATACATAATCGTGTTATATTTCTCTAAAAATCTGAACACTGGCTACACTGAGGCTAAACTATCATCTGCAACGCTTGGAAGACTGCAGAAAGATAATTTGAAGTCATATAAGTGCAATTTACATATTTTAACCTGTACTCACGATCAGAATATTTTAAATCGTTTATTAATTAATACGAGTACTTTATGATAACAATAATTGGATTTTGTACAGAGATTTCCAACGTATCGCTCTACCTTAAGCAGTGGTGAGAGTCAAGACATTGCCCTATTCTGCCAAGATTCATGTATCTTTAAAAGGTCCTGGACGTTTACGAAGTAACCTTTGTATTATCTTTATCATTCTGTAAATTTTGAGTCTTGTTATTGCGATAAATACGAGAAACAAAATGAAGTCACATATTCTTCATCTTACAGATTATGCACGTTCGTGGAAAGGAAGACCTCTACTTTACAGAAGACGACCTCCTAGAAATGTAAGGAAAACTTGTTCCCATTTCTTTCCGGTTAACTACTCCCCCTCCCTCCCCCCCCCCTTTCCATTCACGGTGTGAAAGTCAGAAACCAAGAAGAGTGCAGTAACTGTGTACACGAAGTTTCTTACGTTACCCTTTGAAAGTTGCTGCTCATCATTTCATCTGCAGGGACGACAAAGAATAGACCCGCATTTGAAACGCAGACTAGCTGCAGTCAATTTTGATCACTTCAATGCTGGGTGAAAAACTTAGGCAAAATTGCAGTATTTGCGGAATTTTATCATATAAAGTGTTAACTATACTCTCTATACAACCTAGGTTTGAAGAACTTGATATGGACAAGGATAACAACGGTAAGGCTATATCAGGAACACAAGGGTACAAAAGTCCAACCTTTCTAAACACATTGCTAACTAAAGAAAAACAACCTAAACTTTCTTTACTTTTAAAAACTCGTTGCGTATGAATTATATGAAGCGAGTACTGAGTCAATTATAGAAAGGAATTTGACCAATCCGATAACAAAAATGAATAAAGTTTTCTCTAAGAAAGTTTTGTAATCTTTGCTTGCTTCGGTGCTATGCAATGATCAGATCAATGGAATTTGTTCGTTTCCTTTGTAACATCAGACATTTCTCTTAACTAATTTAAAGACCTTTACAAAAAAATACCCTTTTCTCTGGGAGCAGGTTTCAACTAAGTGTCAAAGATAACCCTAGATTGCGTTGGTTCTCTTACACTTTCTCTCTGATTGGCCTAGAAAACTCGCGCCACTTCCCAAACCAATCAAATTCAAAACGTGCGCTCCAAAAAGAAGACCTTCGTACTTTGCTTTTTCGTCTTTTTTTTTTTTCAATCATATTACATCCTTTTCTTTATGACATATTTAGGTAAAATTGACTTCGAAGAATTTAGCAAGGTAACTGTTCCGGTGATAAAAGAGTACTTCGACAAAGTGCGAAGAACAAAACCGCGACTACGCAGCCGCAACAGTAGGCAAGTTTGGATGTTCCACAATGACCCAAAGTATCCACTCCTCTCGGATTTTCATGGCAGGTGAGAGAGTGGTGCCGAACTATAAACTTCACTGCCGACTGATAAGGGCGTTTTTCTCTTAATATCGTTTTCATCGCACCGACCAAATATCCACGTTCGAAAATTCGCAGCCTGTGGCGGGCTGTAGTGATTGTGCGAAGTCAAGAGAAAATAAGGGAAAATTTTTTTTCTCTTGATAAAATGACACTCGTTTGAGGATAACCCTTACCCGAAAAGAGTGTCACGCAGTCGGGTTTCTATTTGTGTGAGAACCTTTGACGTTTCGTCAATTTTTAATCATCTTTTACTCTCCTTCGCTCTAACGTTTACATTCTTTCAATTTTTTTATTTGTTTTATGTCACGAGTGAACTTTACAATAGTCCCTTTTACGGTTGTGGGCTTGGTGGCCAAGCCTTTGAACAGGAGTGAGGCTAAGGGTGACCCTGTTGTGATAGAGACCTGAATCTAGTTAGCATGATAATAAAGGAATTTGCATTTGAAAAGCAGCAACATCTCTAACATAACAAGGTCACCCTTAGCCTCACTCCTGTTCGAAGGCTTGGCCACCAAGCCCACAGCTGTAAAAAGGACTATTTTTACACCAAAGATGAGCCGTAATTTGTAATTGAATTTTTTTTATCAAGACTTTTATCAGGATCGTGGTTAGTAGAATAATATTACATTTTAGCGACTCCTTCTAATTTTATTTCTCTTTGTTAGATTGTCACGTTTAAGTCTTCTTCCAGAGGAATTTATCAACAATACAGAGCCTCTACAGGTTAGTAACTTCTACTGTAATAGAAAACACTCATTGGAATTGAAATAAGGGGAGTGCAATTTTGTCGGCTAAAATCACAGAGATGATTTTCACACTAAGTTTGATTGCTATGTATTTTAGTACATCTGTTTTGAAGCCGAACAATCCAATCCTCAAAATTTTGACAGTGCAAATATCTTGCTGATCAAATAACACGTTTGTTTTTTGTTTTTTTATTTGAAGTAGATATAGGAAAAGATTTTAGAAAAAAAGTGCGGATCGTGAATAATTCGTACTTCTGAGAACCAATCAGATCGCAAGGATCATCCGTGATTTAAAAATAGATGTAATAAGCAGAGAATTGGAAAGATGGCCGTTTCTGAGTTCACAACTTTTTAACACAAAGCTTGTACTAACAATCAGGTGGTCAAGTATGATGTTCACGGCCATTATCACTGTCACCACGACTCAGATGATTTGAACCCAAAGCTACAGTGCTGTTCTTATGCGAATGAAGACGACTGCCGTCTATGCAGGTAAATGCTTTTTTCCGAACTAGACGGTCCACGATGGACAAAAGCTGAAGTCAGCGTGAAGTGCACTTTTACAAAAGGAAGTACGACTGCATAGAAATTTCACAAATGAAGACACTGCGAGGTTTACTTTATAGGCGGATTCATGCTGACGTCATTGTTTACATTTTTGCTCATTTGCATACGGCTTTGCGTAAAGAAGGAAGCATGTTAGATACAAATTGACTTCTGGCAGCTAAAGAGCTAGAAAACCTTAGTACATGGTAAAATCTTTAGCTCTTTGGGTGTAATATTCAAAAAGAAATAGTCCATCAAAAACTGCAAAATTTCCGGGTGGCAAAAGCGCTAATGAGCTCATACATTCTATGTAAAATTTTGAGTTTTTAAACCCGTGTTGCACTAAAAGTATTCAATGCATCAGGCTCGTATTCATTGGCCGAGTTAATCGTACTTTGACCTTTCGATATTCAGAACTGATTTATTTTTAGCCCCATCAGAAACTGAATTGCTTATGCTAATGAGGCAAATATTGTAAACAAGGATTCCCCTATAGGAGGCAGCTGTGTGAGAAACAGTGAGTATCTGATCAACTGCGTACCTTCTCCTCCCCTAACCCAACATTTACCCTAACCAGTTATTAGTTGACTGTTTGTTTGTTTTAGGGAGGGGTAGGTGCGCAATTGCTTAGACACTGACATTGAACCACAAAACTTGTATCCGTTGCTCCACCGCTAAAAAGTGAACTTAACAAGGAAACTAGCTTTCTCACTAAAGCCAACAAACTGTGAGGACAGTACTTATTTTTCTCTTCTTTGTACTACAGACTTGTCACAGTCCTATTGTACTTGAACGAACCTCAGGAAGGCGGAGAGACGGCGTTTCCAGTGGCGGGCAACGAAACGTTTTCCGAGGAGGTAAGAATCAGAAAGTGTCGATGTGCTTCAAGTAGGCTACGTTGCGAATTGTCGCCTTTCTTGTTGTAGTTACCAGGAAAACAGTTATGACGTATTGACGTGTGGGCAGTGGGAGTTTAATTTCAGGTCACAATATTCGTCGCAGCTCGTGAGTGTACGAAGGCATGAGCGGGAATTTAAAGCCTCGTTTATTTTCGCCAGCTTTCGTTAAAAAGCGGTGTGAGCTCACGAGAGTAAGTGACAACTTAATTGAAGAGTTGAACACTCGTAAACCAGCTCTTCTATAACCCAGGAGTCAAAAAAAAAATCATGGTCCAAGCTGCCACTATTTCAATTCTTTTTGCTATATAGCAATCGCACTAGATAGCTAATTATCACTCCTTCGTATTTAATCGCTAGGCGTGGGAGAGAGGTGAAGGCTGGAAGTGCAATCTCGCACAAAACTGCCATAAAAGTAACCTGGTCATCAAACCAGAGAAAGGAAAGGCGATCATGTGGTACAACCACCATCTGGACAAAAACACAGGTACGTCATGAGCCTAATCAGGCTCTCGTGTTTGGTTTTCGCCTCACGGCCCCTTTTCCAGGCACAGCCAGCAATTAAACCATCGGCAGCCGCTTATGAAAAAAGGGTTATTGAACCCCCTGCTCCTGTCAGCCGGAGGGGGGAGGGGTCCTTTGATTTTAGACCAAATTATCCTTGCTGATTAACAAGGAAAGATGGAGTAATAAAGGGAGGAATATGAATCTGTCTTTTAGACTTTCGAGTCTTTGAACCGTTGGAGAAAATCTCCTTGGAGGAGACTCAAACTGACAGTTATAACATAACCAAAGTAAAGCGCACGCTCTGATTGGTCAATTCAGTGTCCACCCCATTTGCCCATGGGTGTACACTGCTGACGCGAGCAAATACAAAAACTAGTTTCCGCGCGCTTGTTTAGGTGTTTAGCACCTTCCTGCGTACATCCGTAACGCAATAGTGTACGCTGTGGCGTTCACCATTTGTTAGTTACATGCGTAGTTTCAAAGTCATTCCCAAGAAAAGACAAATTGGGCTGCGGTTTCAACGAGTTTGTTTAATCGAGTCAACAAAAACTTCATATATCTTATTTCAAAAAGTGTTCTACCAAACTCAAAAGCATCTTTTGAGCTCTTCACAATTGAAATTCCTTCTTTCGCGTTTATCACTTCTTCGTTAACATGACCGTACTAAAAACGTACACCCCTTAAATTTTATCCATATTGAGATTTTTTCAAAGTCAAAGCAAATTTTTGCCGTTACGCGCCTAAACGCAAGCTTTCAGTAATTATTTCTTGACTATAGGTTGGCTTGGTGAGTTGGACCAGTTGGCACAACATGGCGGCTGTGACGTAATAAAAGGCACAAAGTGGGTTGCAAACCTCTGGCTGACCCTTGTGGGAGAGCAAGGCACTGAGGAACCATTCAAGGGATGGATTGATTATGGAAAAGACGAGACTAAGTACAAACCTGGTACAGACTGGAGAGGAGATCTAGTAAAACAAGACAACGGGGCAGAAGAAAGCAGCGACCAGAAAAACGAAGAAACTGAACAGAAGAAAAGTGAAATTAAGGATGAAGAGAAATGGAAAGAAGAGAAAGAGAAAGCTATAAAAGAGGCGAAAGACATAGGAGGTGGTTCTTATGATGTGAAACTGGAACTCTAAGTGGAAATTTCCTTTTAATTGTTTCCTCTCTAAAGGAATCAACTGAGAAAAATTTTCCAATAATTTAAATTAGGAAATAATTGTTAGGGGTGAGGTCTATTTCGAGAAAAGCTAATTTAGGGTAAATTTTAAATGTTTCTTGACTATACTCTAAGACATTTTCACAAGTCTCGGCCATTTATTTCACAAAATGACATTTTACTAGACAAAGTTGAGTCAAAAGAGACAAAAAAAAAACCTCTACGTCACGTTGTTTCTTGTTAGTATTATCGTTTTGGAATAAATTATTTTAATTCCTTGATTCTTGCGTGGCATCGTTACATTTTTGTGACCGCTATTTATGCTTTCTCTAATAGCCATTCGAACTGACCTAAGTAGAAGATGTGAACAACCTCGCCCACGGGGCTTTACTCTCGAAAAAAATGGCAAAAGCCCTGGGAAAGAGGATGAAGATGAGAATATATGAACGGAGACAAGGTACATAGGAATATTCTTAGTCCCAACTCACAACTGAACTACAACAACTTTCGGGGAGAAAACTGGACTTCACAATAAAATTGAAGATTCTGAACAAATTATGATAAGAGAACAATGAAGAGAGGGTTTCTAGCAGATAATGCGCCCCCTAATTTCAGAAGCAGGGACTCCTGCAGAAGTTATTAAACGAGAAAAAAAAAACTGTTTTCTATAGAGTAAATCTTCTACTTCAAAACACACCAACTTAATCTAACTTTTACTTTACAAAACATACCGAATAGTACGTCATATCATATATTACTTAATGTCCTCTGATGAAGACATGATTTTCACGTATGCGTAATATTGCCAAGACACGCCATAAGAACAAAGAATGAAAATATTTAAGACAGGACTTATCTTTCTTCTAAATGAAGGGCATTTTGTGCTAATAATATTCAATATCATCATCATCTTCCTCGAACTCCGAATGTAAACTGTTGAAATGTGGAACATAAGGCCTCATGGATCCTGTATTTGGTCGCGCAGCAAGGATGTACAACGCGTGATTTAACACGAAGTCTTTCCACTTCACTGTGGTTAACTTCTGACGCAGCGAATACTCCTTTTTATCGTCTATTTTGACAAACTCATTCCCAAGCCAATCCCAGATCGGGATATCCTCTTCTCGTAGGTTTATCAAAGAGAGGTACCAGTTCTTAAAGACCACCCGAGATAAATCTTCCCTAATTTCCCCGTCTCCTTCTATATCGTATTCTTTGAAAAATCTTCTGAGTTTGTGAATTTCCTGTTTTGTAAGCAAAGCAGGGAGTGTTCTCTGAGGAAAGGATGAGAAGACAGAATTTGAAAACATCAGTCGGACGTCTTCAAGTATTGAATGCAGAAAAAAGATAACACGGAAGTAAAAAAACAAAATTTCTTATCAAGTTCACGAACGAGGAATTCGTAAACTTAAAGAGCTTATGTGGGTTCTTACGCCATGAAGTAACAAGGGTTGATGCGGGTGAGCAAACAAATCCCCCAAATGTCGGCTCAGTTCACAAACCAGTGTTTTGTCAGGTTTCGTGATACTCTACCGATACCCATTCTTACCCCTCGGGGGGGGGGGGGGGGGGAGAAAGAGGGGCGAGGCACTGTGGAATGGCCTTCCTGATAACATCAGTCAACTACACCATCATAATTTCGTTTACAAGCCTTTCAACTGTCCAGAAACTAATACATCTGTTTTGAACGAGAGGACGAGTCTTGCTAAGGAAAAACTCATCACTATCTACGCTACCAAAGAAAATTGATCAAGAACGTAATTCTCAAGAAAAACTTGCTACGGAATATAGCCACATCTCGGGGGAAAAACAAGTTTGAATCCTGTTGAAGCCTAAGTTTTCAGGCTTTATTGCTGCACTTTAGTTCACTTGTGATCATTTCGTTACTTAAGATCTGTTTTGACCAGCTATAGCAGACTGTTACCTGACCCAAACAGAGGAAATTTGAGTGAGGTGATGAAAATTCTTACGTATGATATCAGATCACAGATCAACCTAACTTTCAAACTCTTTCTCTCACGCCCCTCTCGAGAGTCATCAGAGGCCGGGACGAACAGGGAATCTGAGAACGAGGTTAATCATAGACCATAGATTTATAAGTACCTTTCTCCGTTCACTTAACTTCCTGACGCACATAGGAATCGCAAACTCCCACCAGTCAATAAGATCATTGTTGTTCCTATCCATGTCTTCAAATGTCCGCTCCTCCATTAACACTAGATAACTGGGCATTTCGCTGCCAAGTAACTTCCTGTAATACTCCTTTTTGTATGAGAGATACTCCTCTTTGTTAATAAAGGAATCTAAGAGGAGGTAATAGGAAATATACTTGAAGATTCTGATGGAATTGCGGTCGTTTCGCTCACGTCTTACGTCGTATTGCCAATGTCTAGGTCAGTTCGCTAGCGTTAGTTAGCTTTCGACTTTTCGGGCGATTAGAAGTCGAACAAGTTCTGCCGATGGACTCATGAAACGTTTTGTAATACTTTAGCAAAACAACCTTAGAGAAGGTAGCGAACTGCCATGATACGTTGGCGAAACGACTTAAAGAAGTTAGCGAAACAACTCGTAGGCGAAACGACCGCTTTTTTTGAAAAGCAACACTTCAGTTAAATTACATTAAGTCTTACTTCATTATTTCTTACCGACCTTGATTGGTGTCCATTAGATCAAAGGTCTCCATTATATCAATCTTTTCGTTGTCAGATAAAAGATCGAATAAATTTTCCTGCAATAAATTCAATAGCATTACATTATTTAATCCCTGCTGTTTAAATTTTAAAGCTGACAAAGTAGCTTTCCTTTGTTTAGATTTCCACCAGTCCTAGTAAATCGAGAGTGGAAAAGGAAAAGGGATGAGAAAGAGACTCATTCTTGTTATCCTATTATACATGTGCAAAGGGTGAACGTGTTGACAAGGAACGCTTTTCAAATAAACTTCTTGAGTACAGAAACTAAAGTCATCATGTTGGGATATTGAGAGAACACACGGCAAGATTAACAAATGGTAAACACCACAGCGTACACTATTGAGTTATGGATGCACTTGGGAGGTTTGCTAAGCACTCAAGAAGCTAGAGTCGCTCGAGGCGATCGCCTCGAGCGACTCTTACGCTCCTTTTATGCTTAGCAACCTACCGCGTGCATCCATAACTCAATAGTGTATGCTGTGGTTTTTACCATTTGTTAATTTTCAGATCCTTTTCAGCAAATGGTGACATTAACAAGTTGTTCAGTTATTATGGAAGCCATAATTTTAATGAAATAGATTTCATTTGACATGCAGATGAAATTCAACCCAAGAAATGATCCTCACAAGTAAAGTGCAATTTATTTTAAAACAATTGCAGAAAATAAACCAGAAACATTCATGCTTTGAAAAGATTTGAACCCCTGCCTCCATGATACTAGTTGGGCAGTCTACTACCAACTGTCAGCTACAAAGCCACATGTTGATAGGTAAAATTTAGAGGCAAATCTGATCATAGTATTTAATAAATAACTCAATTTGTGCTGCAGATGAAAATCAAGCAATGCACCAACACATACTGAAAAATGTAACAGCCCTTGC